AGAGGAACTTCCACTTTTGCAGTCTTGGCATTGGTTCAATTACTACTACAACAGGGAAGAGCACATACAGTTCCACCAGTGGTCTCCCTACTCTTCTGTTTGGTAAACCCTTTGACCTTTTCTATTCAGGAGCAAGTTATCTAGTGAATGGTATCTTAGGAGAAAAGGATGTGCCATAGCTATGCCCTTGAACTCCCTAAAGAGAGAATTATAACAGAATGGTTTATTATTCAAATAAAACCAAATAGAGGCTGTATGTCGTAAAATACCCCTTCCCAAATGCTTCCTTGTCTGGAACACAGAATTTAAAAACCTGCTATACTTAAATTATAGGCTGGTGTTCTTCCAGCCTCATTCCCCATTAATAAACTCGCCACTTCCAGGTCATATCTTCTGTTAGACATGGGCTAAGTAGTAAATAAGATCTTTTTCAATTCAAGACCCAACAAATTACACCGAACAAGTTCCAAGCAAAAGAATGCAGGCATATAATTCAAAGGAGTTGTACTGGAACAAGTGGAGAGTCCCAGGTTAAAGGGATGCTCTTAAACTACTACTTCTACTACTACTACTATGTGTGGAGAAGATGCTCAGGTTTTCTTACAGATTAAAGACATGACTTCTGCTTCCTCTCACAACAAGACGGTAGAGAAGATTAAGTATAATTACTCTATCATCATGAAGTTAGCTACTTCATATACATATTGTAACAAAAGAAGCCTCATGAAGCACCCAAACAAAGATAAGGGAACAACAACTCAGAAGAAAATTGCACCTTTAAAGAAGCTGAATACTAGTGAAGGGTCTGCAGCAGTCTCTGAGAGGGTTTGAGGCACAAATGGAAACAATTAAGTCCAACTAAGGCTTGTGAAATGAGGGTGGCCCATGGTGGAAGATGTGCGATTATACTTTTTCTCTTGGGGTAAGGACATTTTGCTACTAATCTTTAATAATGTTTTTGAAATTTTATTGAATACTCCCTTGCCACTGGGTCACTCTTTTTAGCAAGAATATTATCTGAGCCATATGTCACTAACAACATACTGGTGTGACAAAAGCATCGTACAATTTGATGGCTTCTATAACACTATAACAGGAAAGGAAAATTCTATAGATATAGCAAAAAATATAGTAGAAAATTAGAGAGACGAAAGCGCAATTTGAAATCAATTTGGCTACTTCTGTTAAGGATAAAAAAAAGCGCTTCTATAAATACATTAACAACAAAAGGAGGGGCAAGGAAAACCTCCATTCCTTGTTGGATCTGGGGAGGAACCTAGTTAACAGGGATGAGGAGAAGGCTGAGGTACTTAACACCTACTTTGCCTCAGTATTCACCAGGTGGCCCTTGGGACAACTGTCCTCTGGAGCTGGTAGACAGGGACAGGAAGCCAAACAGCTCCCCTGTATTCCAGGAGGAAATAGTCAGTGACTTACTGAGCCACCTGGATCCATACAAGTCCATAAGACCAGGTGGGATCCATCCTAGGGTGATGAGGGAGCTGGCAGAAGAGCTTGCCAAGCTGCTCTCCATCACTTACCGACAGTCCGGGCTCTCTGGGGAGGTCCCAGGTGATTGGAAGTTGGTGAATGTCATGCTGATTGACAAAAAGGGCTGCAAGGAGGACCCGAGAAACTCCAGGCCTGTCAGCCTGACCTCAGTGCCTGGCAAGGTTATGGAGCAGATCATCCTGAGTGCAATCCCACAGCACCTACAGGATGGACAAGGGATCAGACCCAGTCAACATGGGTTTAGGAGGGGCAGGTCCTGTCTGACCAACCTGATCTCCTTTTATGATCGGGTGACCCACCTGGTGGATGAGGGGAAGGCTGTGGATGTGTCTATCTGGACTTCAGCAAAGCCTTTGACACTGTCTCCCATAATATACTCCTGGAAAAGCTGCAGCCCATGGCTTGGACAGGGACACTCTGTGCTGGGTCAGGAACTGGCTGTAGGGCCAGGCCCAGAGAGTGCTGGTGAATGGGGCTGCATCCAGCTGGCAGCCGGTCACCAGTGGTGTCCCCCAGGGATCAGTGCTGGGCCCAGTCCTGTTTAACATCTTTATGGATGATTTAGATGAGGGGATTGAGTCCATCATCAGCAAATTTGCAGACGACACCAAGTTGGGAGAGAGTGTCAACCTGCTGGAAGGCAGGAGGGCTCTGCAGAGGGATCTGGATAGGCTGGAGAGTTGGGCTGATTCCAACAGGATGAAGTTCAACAAGGCCAAGTGCCGGGTCCTGCACTTTGGCCACAACAACCCCCTGCAGCTTTACAGGCTTCCCCTGTGATCCTTCCCCTGTACTGTGTGCTGGTGAGGCCACACCTTGAGTATTGTGTTCAGCTCTGGGCCCCTCAGGAAGGATACTGAGGTGCTGGAGCAGGTCCAGAGAAGAGAAACCAGGCTGGTAAAGGGACTTGAGCACAAGTCCTATGAGGAGAGGCTGAGGGAGCTGGGGTTGTTTAGGCTGGAGAAGAGAAGGCTCAGGGGTGACCTCATCACTCTCTACAACTCCCTGAAAGGAAGTTGTAGCCAGGTGGGGGTTGGTCTCTTCTCCCAGGCCACCAGCAGTAGGACAAGAGGGCATGGGCTTAAGCTCTGTCAGGGGAGGTTTAGGTTGGATATTAGAAAGTAGTTCTTTATAGAGAGAGTGATCAGGCATTGGAATGGCCTGCCCAGAGAGGTGGTGGATTCACCGTCCCTGGAGGTTTTTAAGACGAGGCTGGATGTGGCACTGAGTGCCATGATCTAGAAATCACAGTAGGGCTGGATCAAGGGTTGGACTTGATGATCTCGGAGGTCTCTTCCAACCCAATTAATTCTACGATTCTATGATTCTATGATAGTATAGCTGAGGCAGTTATATCAAAAAGGGTAGCTACAATAATTCTAGCTCAGGGGACAATTTAGAAACAATTTAACTACAATGTTAATTCCAGTGAACTTGTGTGAATAAAACCTTAACTTCTTTCACATGGTTATATTCACTCAGATAAGTTATTTCAGAATAAAAGATCTTTCTACCGTCATTTCGAAGGGGCCAATAATTTCCATAGTTAAAATTCATAGCCAAACACTATAAATGTTGGTTTTATATTTAGTTTTTCCATATATTTAGATTTGGTGATTGAAACTCTACAGTTCAATGAGAAGTTGGAGAGGGAAAATGGGCAGTTGCTCTTCGGAAGAGAACTTAGGCTTCAGTGTTATAGGATGCTGTGTGAGGCACTAATGTCACCTGAAAAAATTCCCAGCTTCCACCATCCTTCTTTTCTCTCCATGCCTTAGCTACTCATCCTAGCTGTGCACTGTGTTATCATTACAGTTAGTATAGCTATTTGCACTGTCAACTGGATCTCTGAAATAAAAAATAAAACAAATAAAAAGAAATATGGAAATTACAAATATTTTAACTGACAGCTTGGATTTCAGCCCAAAGAGATGCATTTGCACAAATGGAAAGATGGCAAACAAGCATGCTGGCAAAGGCATCAGTGGAAGCAGGAGGAGTCTGATGGTTTTGTAACAAATACTAGCGCCTTTTCAAATTATACCTGTCAGTATGATCATAGCTATAAAGAGGTGGGAGCCACTGCTCCAAAAAAAGACAATAAACACAATCAAAGATAGAAAGGTAAGCATCACATTCTGTTGACAGTATGAACAGAAAAAAAAATGGACAGTGCAGCCTTATTCATAAAATCAAAATGAAATCCACAAAGCATATGAGTAAGACAGCATCAGTCCAATTATCAGTGATCACAAAAAGCCCAGACTCACACCTATTCCTAGGCCCAGACCCAAAATCTAGTTCTTTACTACCAACAAGAAATAAAGGATTCTGCCTTAAACGTATCACTAATTTCTTACAATAAATTGCCCAGGGGAAACTGAGGCTTAGGTTGGAGCACACATTGACAGAGGACAGCTCTGCCAAACCTCTATCCCAATTTCTTTCTCTTCCTTTCTTTCTCCTGCTCCAGATTCTTCATCTCAGTTTTTTTACCCGTCCTTTTCACCCTCTACATTCAGGTGGCTTCCCTCCTTTGCGTTTCCAGAAAAAAAACATTAAAAACTGCTGTCAAGTATCATGCTTGCTCCCACAGTGACCAACAACTAGAGGGAACAGGAATAAAAAGTTGTGCTTTGCTGTGGACTGCATATCTAACCATTCTTTCATCTGTTATGCCCCAGACTCTCCCACTCCAAATGATGTTATGTACCCCCAGTCCATTCTTAAAACATTCTCTGATCCAGAAAGTCTTCAGGGGCTGGCACATCTGCTTGCAGGACTTCCTCCTGGAGGAACCTGAGCTGTCACTTTCTTAAAATTTATTTGCATGCCCTCTGTGGTTTCCTCCTTAATTATGACCGTAGGGTGCCCAACACATCTCTGGAGCATGGCTCTGTGAGACATAGGAAAGTCCTGGAAAGCTGACAGCGCAGCACAGAGGCTGCCAGAGCTGGTGAGACAGAGGGATTTTCAGGTCGAGAAAGAACTAGAAAGGCAAATGGTAGCACAAGCTACAGGGAAAAGTATTAACAGAGAAGAGCAAACCACTGGCAAATTAATTTTTGGAGACATCAAGCAAACAGGGAGGTAGAAAATGAATTTGCCTCCTTTCTCCCCTTTAAAAACAATCAAAATATGTGGGAAGATGTTAGTTACCAGTATAATATCCATGCATAAGGGGCAAATGAATGAACTTAAGACAGAGAATCATTTAAATTGGAAAATGTGGCTTTAGCTCTGCATTTTACTATTTCTATTTTACTAGGAAAACATCCATTTTAAATGTAGCTGTACAGGTCTTGGTGAAAGAAAAAAGGAACTCCATGTTACAGTGTGTGTGTTGGCCAGTCTTCGTGGACGAAGATCTGGGGAAGGTCTTTACACCTTCCAGCCTGTGCATTGGGTTTTTTAGGTGAGACACAGTGTGCGCGGAGTAAAGCATTACTTTCTGTAAATCTCATTCTTCAGTGAAAAAGAGTGACAGCTACCTGACTTATGCCCAAAAGTCAGTCAAGTTTGCCTATACCTTAGTTTCCCCAGAGAAAGAAAATCCCACAACGTTTACGTTACTGAATTGCAATAGTGCTTCTCATGTCCAAATTCCTTCAAAACCTGCAACTGATCTTTACAGCAGCTCTGAATTTCTGGACTGAACTTTACACGTAATTATTTTAACTTTCAAACAAAAGGAAGCAGATCTACAGGTTGTTCAAAGATACTGTTGTGGCTCTAAGGTTCAGTCCGGTAAGCAACAGTTCAGGCTTGACTGGATGGATATGGGTTTTCTTCCACTTCCTCCAGGCAGGAGTACCTTCAGTACTGGTGGTGCCTGAGTCAGCTGCAGCTGACCAGCTGGATCTCCTCTTGGCCCACAGGTGCTCTGCTGCTGGAAGTAGTTCCCAGCAAGCTTGCAGAGCTGTTGGCCGGCTGCATGAGGACAGGGACTGGGGAGCGCTGGGAAGGCCGTCCTTCCCGTCTGGGTCTGGACCATCTCTCTGCCGAAGTGGCAGCCACCCACTTTTCTTTCTGCACATGGTGACCATCGGACAGACGGGCTGTGGGGAAAGCTCGGCATTAAATGACAATGTCCAGCGCCTGTAAAATGAGGTCAGCAGGCGGGTACATGGCACAGCCCGTGGCTGCCGGACAAACGGCACAGAGACTGTTCCTGCCCTGCCGGCTACTATTGCTCACTCTCTGGGGCTGGAAGGGCAGACCTGTCCGACCAGGGCAGCTGGGGCTCCCCCTGGCCCCTCCTCGCCCCGGGCACCCCCGAGGGAAGGGCCGGGAGGCCGCTGCTGGTGCCGGGCACGAGGCCTTGCTGCAGGCCTCGCACCTCGCCGCGGCTGCCGCAGCCCCGCCGACAGGACGGCAACCTCCCGGCCCGCGGGGGGAGAGGGAAGAGTGCTCGGGGGCAGCCACGCCCGGGACCAGCGATAGCCCGGGGCCCGGGAGCGCAGAAACATGCACAACACGGGCCCAACGCAGCTGCCATTTCCCCTGCCCTTCGGCGCTGCGGGCGGGCGGGAGAGAGGGCGGGGAGAGGAGGCGGAGGAGAAGGAGGAGGGAGGGAAGGGAGAGGGAGGTGGCCGAGCCAGAGTACACTAAGGCGCTCAGCTGCCAACACTCACACATCGCCTGCCGCCGGAGTCCCAGTGGTCCTGGGGAGCGAGTACAGGCGAAGAAAAGCCAGACGCGGGAGAGGACGTAGAAGACGGCTTGGCAGGGGGAAGGAAGTCAGAGAGGAGGGAAACGCGGAGAGAGGGAGAAGGAACCCTCCTCCCCGCGGAGAGACTACTTCCCATATAGCCGGGGATAGAGGGAAAAGCTGGCGCTCAGGAACTGTGAGAGAAGCTTTCCGAGCAAGTTACCCCGGAGAGCGGCGGGAAGCGAAGACAGCAGCAATCACTGATCAGAACCATTATTCGCAACCTCTCATCATTTAACCCCCGGGCGGTTCAATGCACTACTCCAAGCTCTTCCTAGTTTCCTCCTCGGGGTAACTTCGGAGGACGCGCCGCCGGTGCCCCCCGGAGGCGAGGAGAAGCGTCTCGGAAGAAGGAAGAAGTTTTGTGGGGGTTGTGTGCCGAGGAGGAGAAGATGGGCTGGAAGCGCCGCTGCTGCTGGGGAGGCGGAGGCGGCGGGGACCTTCTCTGCCGGCTGACCCTAGTGCTAGGGTTCCTGCTGCCCGCCTGCAGGACGCGCCTCTACACCAACCACTGGGCTGTGCGGATAACCGGGGGGCTCCAGGAGGCCAACAGGGTAGCGAGCAAATACGGATACGTCAATATAGGACAGGTAACCCTACTCACAACTACTTCCTAGCGGGCGCCGGCGCTGTGGCCGGCGGGCGGGCGGCAGGGTGCGCTGCCGCCGCCCTGCGCCGCCGGGACAGGGGCAAGGACAAGGGCAAGGGACGGGCAGCCCTGCGGCCGCTGCTCGACCCCGACCCCGCCTCAGGCCCCGCCGCTGCTGCGGGGCGGCCCGCGAAGCCGCCCGCCGCCCCGGCCTGCGGGCGTGGGCCGCGGGAGGTGATGCGCGGGGGCAGGTATGCCGGAGGGGTTGGGGCTGTGTTTTCCTCTTACGAGGCCAGGTGTGAAGCGGGGCGCGGGGCGGGAAGGGGAGATCGTAGCCGAGGGGCGTCCCGCCGCCGCGCTGCCTTCGCGGCGGCTGAACTTCGCTCCGCCGCGGGCGCCCTCCTGCCCCCACCTTGCAAATTGAAAAGCGCTGGTACTAGGGGAGCTCGTTCTGCAGCGAGTGCCCTTCTGTCTCCCCGGCAGCCGGGACGTGGCAGCTGCGGCCGTGGGGGGCATCCCGACCCCCGCTTTGGCGGGACATGCGGAAGGAGGAGGTGGCCAGGGTGTCCCAGAGCAGCTGCCGGGCGTGTGGTTGCCGGCGGGGTTCCGCGGGGAAGGGGAGCGCACCGGAGGGCCGGGGCCGTACCTCAACTGCCTAGATCCACACATCACACTGACAGGAAATTCTTGGATCCAGCCAGATTTAGAAACTGCAAGTGAGTTCTCACTGGATCCCGTCATATGATAGTGACCCTTGCTACAATTAGGCACAGTTCTGTATAAAATGTCCTAACATCGCTTTTTCCGATGGAGCTTATACTCAGTTTTCTAATTATTCCTCACAACTGTCCTCAAAATATGAGTTGCATATGTAGGATTTACTAGGTGAGTGCCTAAAAAATAACCCAACTCTGTTGCGTGCTTGGGTGTAAACGTCCAAGTACACTCTTTTCTAGACAGCAGTTTCTACTACATGAATTGAAAAGTTAGAAATGAGCATTTACAGGTACAGAAGGCTTCCTTTTATACATGAAATTCACAAAAATGCAGCTGCATTTACACAGCAGGCTTTTCGTGTCAATCAGACCAAAGTGAGACACGATTACTATTGTGTTTTAGAATGAGTTCGCACTTACTGCATTATTGACTCAAAAGTCTGAAGCATATCTCCCACGTGTTCCCAATCATTGCAAGCCAGAATAAGACAGCTGTGCAGGTAATTATTTACCTTTGAAGGTAAATAATTTACATGAGAGAAACTGGAAAATGTCACTGAGGTAGCCCAAAATACGATATGCAAAGATGCAATTACCTAAAAAAAAAAAAAAAAAAGACTACCAGCTTCTCTCTTGTAGCACTGAGGTGAGCAGGCAGTGCTACTTCCAGTTGGATGCACAAAAATTTGGGAGGAAGCTTTCATGTAAAAATTGAACTACCACCTCAAAACTACCCTTTAGGATTCCAAGCACAAAATTTTTTTGCTTTGATCACTTTTTTTTTTTTTTTTTTTTTTGTGTGTGTGTGTGTGTGTGTGTGTGTGTGTGTGTTACACATGTGTTTTGCTCAAGGTGTTTCTCTGTATTCCTATCTGGGCCATTATATGCCCAAATAAGCAACAGTTGGTTGCAGAATGCACTTTTCCTGATTTTTAATTTTATCAGGCTGGCTGGCCAGCTCAGAGCCTGCCTTTTTATACTTTGCGTATCCAGCCCTCATGTTGAATTAGGGAAAGAATGTAGTGAGCCAAAATAGTTTCTTATATGTTGGTCAAAGTGCCGTGCATATAACTATGAGATATCAATAATGGATAAATTTCTCATTGGGTATACAGATGAGAACGAGAGAAAATAGAGAATATAAATAATGAAAAGCTGGAAAATACTTTAGTGGGTATACAGCTAAAAATAAAGCCAATGTGCAGATGTGAAGAAACCAATGCCTTTACTTACTTGTAGGGAGAGTGCAAGGGAAAGACAGATGCAAGAATATTAAATGATAGATACATGAGAAAGAAAACTTCCATAGTGGCATAAAGTAGGCTGATGGGTTATTCCTTACCTTCTGGCTGTAACTAGTCTTTAATAAGAAGAAGTACATGTAGGGGTATGTGAAGAAATTCCACAGAACTTCCTGTACGTATTTTGGAATGGAGTAACGGTGCTAGATGTCAATGTGCTGTGCCAACATGTAGCTCAGCACTCTACCGTTACATGTGCTTAGAAGTGGTGTGTGTTTGCACAAAGTCCTACACAGATTTCCTTTCGTGGCCATTGTTCAGTTTCTGGGAACTTGCAAAATTATCTCCAAATGTGACAGCACATTTGTTAGTATGTTAGTAGTCAGTCTAGTGTTTGTTCTTTTATTTCTAGCTAGTGCTTGTACAATTTGCATCCTACTGCCCTGGTTGCTAGATAGAATTTATAATTTGAGAATTCAGTGTTCATAAAATAATCCAAATGGCTGTGATCTGACCATAAGTAGTTTACAACTTGAATATATATGGTTTAAAGCCTGTGTAAAATAATTATAACTGTATTTCTTAACAATAAATAAAGTGCATTGTTTTCTGTAAAGCCTCTCAATCACTCTTTGTAGACTGTATCTCTTGGTAAAGATGGGTAAATGGAGTAATATTTTGGAGAAAGGGAGTTAGGAGTATTCTGAACTGATGAGTTGGACTTGCCTGTAACAGGCTTTTGGCATGTATTTGGAAAAGCAGGAAGATACTTGATGCAAAAGAGAAAGTGCGAAAGAAGATGAGAATAGGGCAACTACCTACTGTTTATTATGAAGAAATAATTGTAAGCAATTTGAAAAACCTCTTTTGTGTGAGATGTTGAGAGATACTCTCTTAATTGAATACACTATGAAAACACTGGAAGAAATAAGTGGTACGCAGGATTTGCTCTTGTGAAAACATTGAAAGAGATAACCCATAAGTGGAATTTTCTCATAGAGTTACACAGTAGTTTTAATATTTTTGGTTAAATTAAAATTAAAAGCTCCTCTTTGAGAAGAAAGTGCAAAAAACTAAATCCAAATTCCATTACAACTGTTCCGAAGAACCAACTCAGTACAAATTGCCCAGAAAAATAATCTAATTAAAATATTCAAGATAAGAGGTAGTGAAACTGTATTAAAATGGAAGTCAGTTGCAAAACAGGAGTATTCTGACAACAGTTAATTATGTGATTAGATGTGAAGGGAATAGTGGAGGAGTTCTGAAGGTCTTACTCTTACCAGGCATTCTGATAATTTTGTATTTGTGGAAAAATGACATTGAAAAGTACATTAAGTTGATCAGAGGAGACAAGATGGTAGATCCAGGAAGGCCCTGAATTGTAAACACAGGCCAACATACCTTCTTCCAGTTTTTGTTATTTAGTACATTCCTGGTAACAGGAGGAATTTAACTTTCCTCTTTTTTTTTGATGCTTGTGGGATTTGGAGAATGTCCAGCTGAGTCTTGAAATACCTTTCAAGTCCGTTTTTATTGCCATGGTGGAGTTGCAAAGGCTACCTGAATGACTGGACAAGTCAATCAGAAACAGATGACAGAAAGCAGTGTTAAAAGAGGCCTTGAGATTACCTGCTGATGAGTGGTGGAGAACTCCTTCTACTCACATCTTCTGGTAAATTCTTGTTGCTCTCAAACTTCTTCTGTGGTCTCCATGTCTTATTATGGCAACTTGAAGCTTTAGCTTCTCTGTTCATTTAAAAGAGGAGTTTTGCATTAATTTGTGGGGAGCACAGCGTAACAGAGAAAGAATCCTCTTTTACTCTCTGTTTTTCACCATAGGCTATATGTTTTGATTTCTGTTTCCTACAAATTGCTCCAACATGCTGCTTGTTTATCTTTTGTTTCCTGTATTACCAATGTAAGGTGTGTCTCCTGTGTTTCGCTGGACTTTAAAATAGCATTCATATTAATACTGGGACGTAAATGCATAGAGATTTCCTCTTCCCCCCCACCCCTTCCTCAATGTATTGCAAGCTTTTCTGGCCTACCCTTGAAGTGCAATTAGTAGTTTCTCTAGCAAGCAAATCCTTGTCTTATGTGAAAAAATCTGTTCTTTTTGTCGGGTTTTCTAAGAGAGTGGTCTGGACTGGCAAGCCCTCTGGGACTGCGATAAGGTAGTATAATGCAAAGCAGCGAAGGAGTTGTTCTAAATTACATGCTGGATGCAGCAATTTGGGGTATAATGCATCCTCCAGCAGCTCCTTGTGGACATGTTTTTTATCCTGAAGTGGCTGCATAAAGCAGACATTTCTCTTAGAACAAAGTATCTGTCACTGACTTCCAGGAACGCTTCTTCCAGTGTTGGTAGCTGTCAAGGATTAAGCATATAGTTTGTATAGGATGTTGTACAATTGGCTTAAATATTGTGACTACTTTGCCAGGTGCCAGGAGTTTCTTGTTCAGGCAGTAGATTTTAATTGAAGGTTCAGGACCACGAAAGAAACAGACAGTTGATACCCCAGAGGTGATGGAAGAATGGAAGAGATAAAAATATCTTATCTGTGGCTCCAGCAAGGGAGATAAATACTGCATTAGTTAGTTCAGGAGTAAACTTCAGATCCTTCTATTCCTTTTCTCTTTCTTAATTCTAGGCACGGGCTGAGGATGGGTTAGTACTTTTCCAGATCACATCTTTCCTCTCCTTATAATGTTTTTCCAGTAATTTTACTTTTCTGATCTCTTTCAGAACTTAGTAGCTTACTCCCTGCCCTTGACAAGTGACAGACTACCCTATCCCTCCAATTTTCTTCCTTCAAGGAATACACACTATTAGCCAAAAGATATCTAAGCATGCTACTTTTGAGATGTGGCCTAGGACTCACAGTTAGCTATACAGATGTGTTTTTTTAAATAATGTAAATAGTGATCTGATTTGCCATTGTGTATTCTGTGGTGGGAGGTTTTTTTGGTGTTTTCTTGTTTCTTTGTTTTGTGAGTTTGCTTGGTGGTGGTGGTGTTGGGTTTTTTTGATGGGGGTTTAT